CCAAAATATGAGGGCTATCCCTCAAGTGTGAATCCTGCCTCACAGAGGCCCTGTGAGGCAGCTGGAGCAGGGGGGGCAGCTGTGGGGGTCGGCCGGGTACCTCCAGGACGTGCAGGTACTGGTAGATCTCCTTGACGTATTGGGAGCAGAGCTGCGGCTGGTCAGCGTCCTGCTCGTCCACGTCCGGCGCCGCCAGCAGCACCTGGGAGAAGCCCCGGCACAGCGCCCCCTCCTCCGGCACCGCGGGGGGGGCCTCTGGCACCGCCGGGGGGGGCTCTGCTGGGCCGACCTGGACCGTCGGAACCACCACCTGGACGGGTTTGACCTTTTGGGCACAAGCCGGTTTGGACTTTGACGGTCCGGCTCTCTGGAAAGAAGAGCAGAGCGTTAGAGAGGCCACTTCCAGGGAGCTCTGCTCCATCAAGCCTCCAGGGGGGCCGGGTGGGTCCAAAACCGGGCTTCTGAACACCCGAACCAGGCTGGAGGCAGATGAAGTGGCCCACTAATCCAACACGGCTGGAAACAAGGTGCTAAGACATCATTACAAGCTGCATTGTGTTCAGATTCAGAACTTATTCAGAAAAATAAGCAGCAGAAGGAGGGTTCCGTTACCTTCGCGTTAGCGGCGTTAGAGTTGGTGATCTCTCCGAGAGCAGCTCTCCTCGGCCCCGCCGCGGAGCTCTTCCCCTTAATTAAAGGGACCTGTGCGGCCGGCAGCAGCTGCACAGACAGACACACAAACCGGAACCTTTTGGCGAAGCTCAACGGGCACGAACGGAACTTCTGACCGGAGCTAGCCAGCGTTAGCCACCTGCGGAGCTAGCAGCTAGCTAGCATCACACAAGGGCCGACAAACAGCGACTACTTACCGCAGCGCGAACCTCCAAAGACGACATTTCAGCGTCTTTACCGGCAAAAAGATCAAGAAACACTTAAAACAACGACTCGGTAAAAAGAAACCAACGGGCGACGACACAGTTTTAAAGCTCCGTGCATTGAGTTGACACCTGTTGCGAGACGCTTTCAAATAGCATGCCGTTGAACCTGATTGGATGCTGCGGCATGGAAGGAACGTTGCTGATTGGCTTAGAACTTGACGTCATTTTCATAGTTCCGGCTTCGTTTAAATATACGGAAAAACATTACCATGGTAATATGAACATGAACAAGCCGTGGTAAGATAATAAATTAATCAGTTTTAGACATATTTTTTATATCAAATGATTTATTTATATTTATGTTTTTGTGCGAAAATTCCTGGAGAGTAGTTTGTTGTTCTTCTGGACACAGAACGTTAAGTATAAAAGTATGTGCGGACTTTATGTCAACTGAAATAACAACAAACAAAAAAACAGATAACCCAAATCTAAAATAGTGTCATTTAATTTAAATAAAAATTCTTTTTTTCCCCTCCCTTTTTAGCCCCAACATCCAGACCAGCTTCACCAGCTCCATCGAGTCCAGAATTTGAATAAAAAGTCCTCTTTACAAAAAGAGCCCCTTATCTGTTTGTAACAGGAGGGTGGAGCCACAGGGAGCCTGGGATTATTTAAGTAAATGTGTAAAAACTCAGAGCAGGACACAAAAATCACAAAGAAACTTTATATAGTTTTCAAGTATTCAAAACTGTTAAATAAGTACAAGATGTGTTCACATGATTTACATATTGGACAATATATGCACTGCCCACTTTAATTCTCTTTACATGTTTTTCCCACTACCCACGCAACACGCTAAAATGTCTGCGATCTATTCACATTTGTTTCGATTTTTTTTTTCTCTTTTGACGCTTTGAATCCACTGGAGATGGTGAGGGCTGTTCTAATGGACAGAGCACACAGACGGGACACCTGGAAGAGTCTACGGTGTGGGATGGGACGTCCGACGGGGCGACGGGGTGGGTCACAACGGGGACAAGCTGCTGGTGGTGGTGTGAACAATAACACAGGAGATGGGTTTGTGTGTTCAGTCTGGGGTTGATCCCTCCGTCAGTCCCAGTGCGCCTATGGAAAGGAGGCCTTGCGGCGGGGGGGGGGGGGGGGGGGCAGGGACCCGCCCTCTGAGGGAAGAGAACCACTGAGCACCAGAGAGCATGCAGGGGGCCCAGACCGCCTCTCCAGCTTCTGTAAACAAGGG